ATGCACAGTTTCGGTTTAAAACCGAAATAATGCATATGGTAAAAACCGAAATAAAGCATACATGCACAGTTTCGGTTGAAACCGAAATAATGTCTAAATGCATTTTCCATATGCGCAATTTCGGTGCCCCGAAGTTAGCTTAAGACCTTTGTTGCCACATTTCTTAAGTTTTTAACTTATAACTTTAATTTTAAGTTACAGCCAATTAATAATAATAATAATAGATTGGCGCTTACACATATGTTAGTGTTTGGCCGAGCTTCTCCTCCGACTTGTGGCGTGCGCCTTGATGTTGTCACACAAAGCGGAGGGACCTACAGTTTTACGCCGACTCCGAACGGCGATTGTATTTTTAATGAGAAGCTGTTTTTCATGGCAGAAATACACTCGGAGGTTTGCCATTGCCTGCCGAGGGACGACCGCTGTTAAGAAAAACCTTTTTCTATATTTTTTGGGATGTTGGTTTGACCAGGGCTTGAACCCAGGTGCTGATGAGTGCAAGCGCGCACTGCTTACCACTACACCACAGCGGCCGACAGCCAATTACAGCTTTTAATAATCATAATAATATATAATAGTAATAATAATAATAATAGTTCATTGTGCTCTTAAAAACTGTGAGAAAGATGAAAATTTCCTGCCAATAGCTTTTATTCGCTCAAACAACTTTCAAAGTGCCCTAAGTTAATTTTTTTTTTTTCATACATGATCGCTTATCCAAAATAACTTAAATTTTTCAGAAATTTAATTAATTAATTACTAATTTACCAATTTTTTCACTCATAATTTTTCATTAATAAATTTGTAACAAAAAATAATAGATTTAGGGTTAATAGTAATAATAATTGTTAACTGAAAAGTTCGAGTTAGAAAGTTTATCAATTACTTTAAGAGAAACAAGTATTTTTAACAAATATATAGTACATATTTATGTATACGAAATTCCCAAGCTGATGAATTCCGCGTCAACAGTATTCTCGAAAAGCGTCTTATTCAGTCCAAAGATAGTCAGGCAGGTTCTGCAATTCACTTCCGAGTGAATTTGAGTCGGATTCGCGTAGAATTCAAATTGGCAGGGGTTGAAATTCACTCGGATGTGAATTGCAGAACCTGCCTGAGTATTCAAAAAAATAAGTAGCGCCATAGCGGGGGAAGTAATTCATTTCGTCTCTAAATTCTTATTTTGTATTCAATAACAAATGAATTATTAAAAAGAATAAAATCGTTCCAAGTAACTATTGCTTTAATATCGCCTGTAGCCATAATAATAAGATAAGAAAACCACTAATTCAGATAATAAAAAAACGACTCGAAAACCACTAATTCAGATAATAAGACTCGACCAGGCGAGTTGCCTTCGGCAAAGGTTTGTGAGAAACTGGTAATAAGAAATCGATGCGATGGATATTATCGGCAGTACATTTTTTGCCAAGCACGACACGTTTTCTTATTGTTGACAATAAAAATTAAAATATACATATGTACATATCGCTCATTTATTCCATGATACAAAAAAGAAGGTGGTTTCAATAAACATCTTTTTGATCAAGGCGAATTCATATAAGGTGGTATCGATTCAACAAATACAACAATTACCTGTATTTTGTTTTTGCTTTTAGCTGGTGATTGTCAAATTTCAGCTATTCTTCTCCAAATGAAAAAGGGCGACAGGAAATGCAAACACTCTCATGTTTTCACTCACTCACTAGCAAAATATGAGATTTTGACAATCAAACGCTACACACAGCTGATTAAAAAACACCACCTTATAGTTCTGATCCAGTACTCCATGAACTTACAGGATTTTACACGAACTTGCAGGAAGTTGCAGGAAAAATGTTCCCGTACTCCAAAATCCTGTAAATGAGAGCGACTTTTGGAGAGTTGTGTAGAGAATGAAGTTGCAAGATTTTACCCGAACTTTTTCTTCTGGTAAAATCATGAAAAGTGTCAAGCAATCACTGGTTGACGTTTTTACAGGAAAAATGGATTTTTTGTTCCCGTACTTTTTGTTGTTACTCACTTTTTACTCTCACTTCAGAGAGTAATTTTGCTGTTTGACAGTTTTACAGGATTTTTCACGAAAAGTATTGGATCAGAGCTATTATAAATTCGCCTTGTTTTTGATTAAAAAGGAGATTTTTGACAAATGCTCAATTGTAAAAAATTAAAAGCAGCGTTACCCAATTTAAGTTTTTTGGCGGAAGGGATGATGGACTTAAAAATTATGCCGGCTATATAATTTCGAAAATGGGGTTGATGACTAGGTTTTACAACGCATGAAGAAAGTGATCAAAATTATACTTACATATCGTCATTTAAATTACAAAATCGCGCATCGTCGTTCTCCAAAATCGCGAAACTGACATTTTTTGCCAAAAATTGGATTTGCTCACACAACCTCTTGGCTCTAGCCTTATCCATTCGTACTGAAATATACTAGCCAGAAATGCGATTGCTTTATAAAAAAGAGAACCGTTTTGAAATATGAGTGTTTTTACTCTAGAAAATAATTTATGCATCCTCACATACGCAGTTTTGTATTTTGTTGATACGCGGTTGTGTACTTTATACGACGATATGTTAATTGTTTAGGGAAGGCGGTCTGTTCAAGGCGACTTCAGGTTTTTTGCATACATTAGAAATTTTAAGTTCTAAATTAGTGAAAGCTAATTTTTTGTAAAATCTGATTAGAAATTCAAAAGTAAATTTAAACCAAAATATAAAAATGTTTTATTTGGGAAGAACATTCTTTAGAATTAGATTTTTGATCGCAAGATTGCATTCAAAATAAGAAAACGAAAAAATAATAGCATAATACGCGCGTGGTTTTTATTATAAAATGAAAAGAACAATTACGATGAAGTCCTTTTTAATAGTCTATATTTTATATATTTTTAATAATAATAGTGCGAGCTACATAAGTAAAAAAAATACCAAGCACTGATAATGGTTTTTCATTTGAAATATTATTAGATTGGTATAAATATGGGAAGGAAAATACTCCGATTATTGTTTTAATATTATCAAAGTGGCAAGGCCGATGATAATACTCACAATTTATGAAACTTCAAAAAATTTTATTATCCTTCAAAAGTTGTTTATTGAAACTACATTCTTTTTTGTATCATGATCCCATGGTAAAAATTAATACATATTTTGTTATAGTGAGCTACAGGTAATAGGTACAGCTATTGAATTTCTACACAACATGGGGAACAGGTAGCGATCATTACTGCATACTAGCGTGGGCCGAAAATCTGCTGTTTTAGAATTTTGATTGGTAATAGCAAAAATAGGTTCATTCCTTATCTTTTTGGACTAAAATCTGAAAAGTGTCAAAATGCCAGAGCGTAAGCAAAATGCGCTCACTTAAAGAGAATAACATGAAAAGTAAAGGAACGCAAAAAACCAAATTTTTAGTCCAAAGAATGGCAACAACAAAACTAACGTCAAATAAGAACAGAAATGTATGTACAAAACACATTCACACAAGCACAAGCACAATAAACACTTGCTATATCAATTATTTTTTGCCTCCTTCCAATTTCAATTCATTTCTTTTACTTTTTAGATTATTCTCACTTTTAGCGTATTCTTTAATTTCCGTTAATTTAAATTCAGTTGAGTTTGACACTTTTCAGGATTTTGCCAGAAAAAATTCTTCTGACTAAATCTGACTACTTCGGACTGATGAGAGTCACTCTCACTGACTGTTGCTCTCTCATTTTTGCTGTCATTTCCGAGTTAAGGAACGCTTTTTGGACTAAATCTGACTACTTCGGACTTTTTCTGACTATTTCTGGGAGATAAGGAACGCTCCTAATATGGTTCGTTGTGCTCTAAAAACAATCTGTGTGAAAGATGACAATTCTTGGTCAATATCTTAAGTTCGCCCAAGCCTATACTAAACTAGTGATATGTATATAATTTTTCACATTTAGGTAGGATTTGAAAGTGAATGCATTATTTGGTCTCTTATCGTTTGGCCTATCGAAGTGAATTGACTTGTTTCGTCTTCGTCAATTTCGGTTGTATTGTCGGATTCATAATCTGCAGGATTATAATTAATTTTAAACTTGATGCAAACGTTATGTAATGCTGCGCAGACATTGGCGAATCTCGCCACTTTTGCAGGAAGATATCTTCCCCTTTTGCCGTTCCCTAAGATTCTCCAACGGCCTTTTAAAATAGCTATACTTCGCTTAATGATACACCTTGCTTTAGAATGACTATCATTGAATATACTTTCGCCTGAACCATCTGGAGGATTTCTATAAGGGGTTAAGCACCATGGCTCAACTGGGTAGCCGGAATCCCCTATTGAAGTGTTTATTAACTATAAATCAGTATTAAAGAAATTGAAGAAGTATGAACGTACCTAACAGCCATGCATTTTCCTGTCTGTTAAGCTCAAACCGTTCTTTCAATACTCTATATTGATCTGAGTGCTTCCAAACAAAGGAGTCATGAGCCGCACCACCGTATCGGCAATTGATCGCCAAAATTTTGTATGTGTGGTCACACATCTTACAAATTTATTTATTATTAAATAACATTATTTCAGCGGTATATGGCTAATTTAGCAACTTACTATCATAGCATTGATACTATGGTACCCCATCCGATTAATGTACATATGTTCGTCTATAGAGGGTTTCTGCAAACCAATGTGAGTTCCGTCGACACAACCAATGACTAAGAATAAAAAACATATACTTATGTACTTAATGTTACAGGCATGTAAAAAAATGTGTTACCTCCAGGTATTTTGTATTTTTCCAGAAACCATTCTTTGCATCTAGACGAATCTTCTGGTGAGAATCGTATAAGATGTGGGCACAACTTATTTTCCATTTCAATAAGAACAAACGATACCAACTTTGATACAGTGCTTTGACACATTCCCACCAAATGATCACTTCCGACGCTGTGTTGGTACCCACCGCTAGCTAGAAGTGAAAGAGTGGCAGCCAATCGTAACACTGGGTGCACGGCTTTAACATCAGTATGCTTTAAATTTATTTTTCGCTGCACATAGCTGAACGCCTCTTTGGATAAGCGGTACCGTTTCAAGAATCTAATAAAATCTTACTTTTTAGCTTGAAATATTTTACTTTCATGTACTTACGCATTGTTTGGCAAGTCCAAAGGATTGCTTTGATCTCTAAGCCTCCTCCTTATAACTTTTTCGTCTTCTTCACTTTCACTGGAGTTTAAATAAAAAAACAGAGTCGGATCCATATTTAAATTTTGTTTATTTCGTACGCCTTTTGTCAAATTTTTGACAGTTTCACTTCTATTGTGAAAAAAAATACAATCCAAAACAAAGTGGAACTTGAAAACTATTGTTATGCGCTGTTTTTGCTTACTGCCATCCCTAAATTGGCGCGTCAAGCGCCAAACAACTGTCAAAAATCCTCATGCCCATACAATTTGTATGAAGCATCCCACAATAACGCGGCGCTAACGCCGAGCAAATGGAATTTTCATTTTTGACAGGGCGTTACGTGTTGAAGTTGGATGCGGAAGACGGAAAGAAGGAGAAAGGACAAAAAAGTGAAAGAGGAAACCATGGTGGAATAATACAAGGTGTTGGATATTGACAGCGTTCTCGCTCTAATCTGCCATCTTGGCTCCCTTAGCAAAATCGGTGTTTCCCTCTTGAAAAAACTACATTTTACCGCCTTTAAAAAAAGTAAACTACCTCATTCCCTATTCCAAAACTGATTTGCAATCACTGAACAATTCTTTGACATTTACGTTATTCTTATTCGTTGACAAAATTAAATTGAAAATTAAAATCATTAATTCGACAAAAAACATTGGCTTTGTGTATTCTCCAAAGGCCTAAAATCAGCCAAATACCCTATGTGGGTCGGCTTAATCAGTAAAACGTGACAGTAGTTGACTTTTGAGGTTAATATATCGGCCTTGAGCTGGTACGGCTTTTAAAACATCCGCAGCTACCTTTAAAGCATCGCTGCTAATTGCTGAGAGGACCAGATTATATTTCCGGACATAAGATGTGGTCTTGTACGACTGAAAGGTGGCCTCAATTTGTAGAAACCATTTGTTTGGCATCTCAGTTCAGAACGGTCGCAGCTTGCATTGCGATACAAGCTCCACATCTTTAGTTGGCATTTTGTTCGATGAAATATTTTCCCCATCCGTCGATGCGCCCTTTTGTCGACTCCGTCATGTTGTAACGACTCGGGGTCACCACTAATTTTTTGATGGCGAAATTTTTGTAAGTTATATCAATCATCTTATAGTATTTTCGGGTAAAAATTAGACCCCCAAGCGGTTTTGGAAGTTTGACTATAATTATAGGACATTGTGTTTAATAAACTAAATTACCATTTATTGCATAAGTGCTACGTAATATATACTACTTTCGCAAATTTAGCTTATCATAATATACCGTTTGTTACTATTTATATGCAAAATTTGATATGAAAGAGTACCAAATTTCGTACTACTTCGCAAAGCGTGCTTCTTTTCTTCCCGTTTCTCTCGTTCTTCCATATTACAACCTTTTGTAAGGGAGCCGTCGACATGAGCTGTCACTACGTACAACACCTTGTATAATTCCACCATG